CTGATTGTATGGGTACGTTACGGAGTATGTTCAATATAAAGTCGGAAAGGAATATTCTAGTGATCCATGTGCGGAATTCTGATGGATAGACTTGTTGTGTTTGTAGTTGCCAAATCATGTTACTCTCGGCTTTTAGAGCACGAACTGCTGCTCTGATGCGATGTGGATTGTTAGGTACTGCTTTCATTGACTTCATTTCTTGATATAGTGTCTGTGCTATGAGATGAGGATCACCAAACTCTGCATGGATCGCCTCGCGTAATTCCGCGTATGTGGCGTAGTGGCCTTGCGAGCCTATGGATTGTATGAGGGTGGCGGCGTCGCTTTTGCACTTAGCTTCTAGGAGGAACATTTTTGCCGAATCGGAGAAGGTGGGGTTTTTGTCTACGTATGGTTCAAACTTTCTCCAGAATGCTGGAAAGTCAGTGATATTTCCACTGAATTCAGGAAGGAATTTGTCAATATCGTATATGGATATGCCGTTTGTGGCGTTGGTTTGCAGAGGTTCAGGGGCTTGGCGGTGGTTCATGTATGATGGTGGTGCGTGGCTATTGTTGATTCTGAGATTATTAAAACGGGAGGTAGTTACGTCGGTAGGTGAAAGAGGTGGCCTGTGATATGTGTGTTGTTATAATAGTGCTTGGCTGTCTCGCGGCGGCTTGGTTTTGCTTCGAGAGTAGAGGATGGGGTGCGTAGAATCCGTCTGCATCATCCGTGGCCGTGTAAGTGGGGGGTAGAGATCTTGTGGATGGACAGGTACGTGAAGGTGGCTGAATGTTTTCAAAAACTACTTGTGGAGATGTTGAGGCGTCTCTGTGTTCGTTGTCATGACGGGTAGGGGTTGGGGGTCTTTCTGTTGGAGCTGTGTGCTCAGGCACAGTTGTAGTAGGTATGAGTGTTATATTATTTCTATTCAGAACTATTTCCGTTATGGCTAGCAGGTCGTCGACGCTCTTTATTGGAGGTGATGGATAAGCATCAGTAATGTATTCGCTAAAGATGCTAAAGAGAATGGCCTTTTTTATCTCAATGGCGTCTATGTCGGCTTGAAGTATCATAAAAACCTTCTCCTGTTTGGACATTTTGTACCGCAGGTAGTTAATCAGTTGTCCCATCATGTTGTCTAGATCTTTCAGTTTAGTTCCGGTGGTGTTCATGAGTTGAAGTGTATTGGCTCTTTGATCGTCCGGGTCAGATTGAGCTAGTTGTGTTTCTTCTCTGATTAGCGTATCCAGGTATCTCATCTTTCTTATGTATTTATTTTTGTGTATAGCGAAGTGGAAAGTGATAGGGTCTCGTTGAGATCCTTCGTATTTTTCGTTGTTAATTATCAGATGCTCAGCGTGTTCCCAATGAAGGAAGTCAATTTCTTTTTGTTGTGATCATATTTCTCGTTCATGGCGTTTACGAAGGGGCTTGTCTTCATGTTCAGGGTAAGATCATCGAGATGAAGGTACTGCATCTTTCCGTTGTACACGAGCTTTCTGATCAATCGAGGATAATCTGCAAAGTGTGTTATATTTTTATGTGTCTTGATTGCTTTCTGTTGTTCAATTTTCGTTTTATGGTTGTGTTAGTGGGCTTTGATAAAGATAGTTCCTTTTATGCTTTTTTTAAACAGTTTTTATTATGTAGTGTGAGGGAATGTGGGAGGTCTTGAGACCAGAGTTGAAGTGAACCTTGCGGTTGCTGATAAGAGGACCTTGCGGCCACTGTTAAGAGTAACCTTTCGGTTACTTTGGTAGAGGACCTTGCGGTCTGAAGAGGGAAACCTTTTGGTTACCTTAAGGGACACTCGGTTAGAGCCGTGTGTCAGGTTGAAGCTATGCGTAAGCACACTAGACAACCACAACACTGATAGTATTGAAAGCGTTAGTACGATAAACACGGAACAAAGCAGGATAAACGATGCGAATAAATTCACTAGCTTAGCCAAAGACGGTTATACTACGGGAGCACAACAGTCGGAGTGA